CCGCTTCCCTGGCTTCTTCCCAAGCTTGTGACCATCCTTGTCCCAACACTAGTAGCAGGACCACAGAACGAAGGCCAGGGCACCTGGTGTCAAACCACACACAGTGACATTCAGCTCTACCTTGTACTCTAGGCCAGGGGCATGCAAGGACACCAGTGCCTACTCCTTTGGCAGATGTCACCCACCCCTCCACCCAACAAAGGCAAACCACACAGTCCTGCTCAATATAAAGGCTCCAGTCAATACAAAGAAGTTTTGCTCAGCTGCGGCTGGCCATGGCTAACTGAGTCTCAGGCCTATGGTACAAAGGAACATTTAGGTTAGCCCAGGGTGAAGTTGTCACAGGAAGCCCAAAGGCATCAGGCCAGACTCAGCAAGTAATAAGGTCAGTGGGAGGAGGAGGAGGGTGGCAAGAGCTGGTAGTTGGTCTGGTAGCTCACTCTCCAAGACCCCTGCCAAGAACTCTCAGACTGACCTGGATCTTTATCTCAGGAACAAAATCTTCACTGTTGACATCACTCGAGTCATGTGGATGGTTCAAGGGTCCCTCACTCACTGGGTACAGAGCACAGAGACAATCTAACCCTGACATGTAGTGTGCCAGCTTCACACATGACCAGCTTGGGACCACCTGCTCACAGGCAAGACAGCTGTCCTACAGCCAAGCCTGAGAGGGTGACCCACTAGCCTGATGTCCCCAGTGCTGTAAAATCACAGAGCTCTTAGAAGAGTCTGCGAAGTTTCCAAGAGGAAAAACAGGCCAGCATCAAAGTGCCATAGATCAGACTCATCTGCAGAAACCAACAACAGAGACATCACAAAAGGTCTTTGGCACTTAGGACTGTAATTCTAAATCCAGCCAGCAGGAAGGAAATGCAGGAAAGGAGAGGAAACCTGGAGAATAGCCCAATCAACACAGGACACTGGGCTAAATCAGACCTAGTATGGCCTGGCATGTCAAAGCAGGATAGTCAGAAGGCCAGAGGATCAGAGAGCCAGGAAAACCACGGAAGAAGCCAGCATACCACTGGCCAGACAGACAGACAGCTAGACAACTAGAAAGTGTGTACACCTGAGCCCACACTTGCAAAAACGTTCCTACCATTCTCCACCTAATACACTTGAGACAGGGTCCCTCACTAAACCTGCAGCTCAACAGGTTCTGTTCGTTTCTGTCTACACTGGCAGGCCAGCCAACCCCAGTGATTTCTCCTGTCTCTGCTTCCTCCCTTCCAGCACTGGGGTTACAGGAATCTGTGGTCACACTGGACTTCCTTATTCGTGTTATGGATTCAAACTCAGGTCTTCATGCAAATAATCTTACCCAGAAAGCCATTTTCCCATCTCTTCCCTTTACAGTTTTCTGCTCTTCTGTACATTTTTCCATTTGCTCTTATATACATAAGAATGCAATTTTTTGTTGTTTTTGTTTTTTTGAGACAGGGTTTCTCTGTGTAGCTTTGTGCCTTTCCTGGAACTCACTCTGTAGTCCAGGCTGGCCTTGAACTCACAAAGATGAGCCTGCCTCTGCTTCCCGAGTGCTGGGATAAAGGCGTGCACCACCACCGCCCGGCTAAGAATGCAACTTTTAAAAAAAAGTCAACCTTGCCGGGCGGTGGTGGCGCACGCCTTTAATTCCAGCACTCGGGAGGCAGAGCCAGGCGGATCTCTGTGAGTTCGAGGCCAGCCTGGGCTACCAAGTGAGTTCCAGGACAGGCGCAAAGCTACACAGAGAAACCCTGTCTCGAAAAACCAAAAAAAAAAAAAAAAAGTCAACCCAAGACAAGGCCCATCAAGCAAGTCCGCTGACAGTCAGAAATCAGTGCTGTCTGTGGTCAATCACCAGAAGAAACAGGAGGTGGGAGAAGGGCTGGAGAACAGGGCGGGCAGAACATTCTGCCTGACAACAACGGAAAGAGAAACGTTTAGGAAGGAGTAAGAGGAGTAAGCAAGCACAGGGCAAGAAAGGCAGGAACGGCAAGGGCCACAACTCCCTCCAACATGGCAGCCACCAATACCCATAGTGGAGACTTAAAACCCAACCACAGCCACACAAAGCCTTTCACATGTGGAACATGGCAAATGATATGCCCTAAGCTTGAAAAGCTCACCAGACTTCAAACATAGTAACTCCTCCAATGAAGGCAATATAGCTAAATAATGGCTCACATCAATTACAGGTTGAAAGACAAAACCTTGAATAGATTAGGTGAAGGAAAAACATCAAAAATGATCTTACCTATTTTTGTCTAAGTAGACACTAGGAAAATTTGAATGACTTACATAGCTCACTTTATCTTTCTATTGACCAGTGCTAGCCTAAAGGAAGCCACTTACAAAGTCTTGACTTAAGAACTGGCAAGATGGAGGCTGGGCTACAGAGTGAGTTCCAGGACAGGCTCCAAAGCTACACAGAGAAACCCTGTCTCAAAAAAAAAAAGAAAAAAAATATTGCCGGGCAGTGGTGGCGCACGCCTTTAATCCCAGCACTCGGGAGGCAGAGCCAGGCGGATCTCTGTGAGTTCAAGGCCAGCCTGGTCTACAGAGCGAGATCCAGGAAAGGCGCAAAACTACAGAGAAACCCTGTCTCAGGAAAAAAAAAAAAAGAAGGAAGAACTAGCAAGATGATTCAGTGAGTAAGGGCATCTGCTGCCAACCTGACAACCCTAAGTTCAATTCCCAAAACTCACATGGTATGAGAACTGACTCCTGCAAATTGTCTCCAAACAACATGGTCATTCACACACATATACAATAAATAACATTATAAAAAAATTTTCAGTCGGGCGTGGGGGCGCACCACTTTAATCCCAACACTTGGGAGGCAGAGGCAGATGGATCTCTGAGTTCGAGGCCAGCCTGATCTACAGAGCGAGTTCCAGGACAACCAGGGCTATACAGAGAAATCCTATCTCCAAAACAAAAAACAAAAAACTTCAACATAAAATATACCAGTTATGGGCTGGAGAGATGGCTCAGCAGTAAAGTGCACATACTGCTCTTCTAAGACGAGGTGGGTTCAATTCCTAGCACCTACATCAGGTGGCTCACGAACAGATTCCAACTCCATGGGCATCTGACAACCCTGGCCTCTGTGGGCACATACCAATACATGTGTACATACCCACACACAGACACATAAACATAATTAAAATTTAAAAAAAATTTTTAAAGATGCCACTTTTTTTCTTGGTTTTTTTTTTTTTGTTGTTTTGTTTTGTTTTTCTGAGACAGGGTTTCTCTGTGTAGCCTTAGCAGTCCTTGTCTGTCCTGGATCTCACTCTGTAGACCAGGCTGGTCTCAGAGATGCACCTGCCTCTGCTGGGCTAAAAGGCAAGAACTATACCACCACCACCTGGCTAAAGAGCTACACTTATGAGCTACACATAGTAATCATGCCTTTCTTTAAACACAGCACTTGGGAGCAGGGTAGGTGGATCTCTGTGAGCGCAAAGCCAGCCTAGTCTATATAGGGAGTTTCAGACCAGACAGGGCTACAATGTGAGATCCTGTCTCAAAAAATAAATAAATAAGCAGATTTGAATTTTAAAAATGCCAACATCAAGCCGGGCGGTGGTGGCACACGCCTTTAATTCCAGCACTTGGGAGGCAGAGCCAGGTGAATCTCTGTAAGTTCGAGGCCAGCCTGGTCTGCAAAGCGAGTTCCAGGAAAGGCGCAAAGCTACAGAGAAACCCTGTCTCGAAAAAACAAAAAAAATAAAATAAAAAAATAAAATAAAAATGCCAACATCAGTAACAAGCAAAATGTTAAATTCAGTGTTTTCTTTTTGGTTTTTTTGTTTTGTTTTGTCTTTTGGTTTTTTGAGACAGGGTTTCTCTGTGTTGTTTTGGTGCCTGTCCTGGATCTCACTCTGTAGACCAGAATGGCCTTGAACTCACAGAGATCTGCCTGGCTCTGCCTCCCAAGTGCTGGGATTGAAGGCGTGCGCCACCACCGCCCGGCTCTTTTTGATTTTTTTCAGAGGACATCTACTACGTTACTCAGACTAGCCTCAATCGCACAGCAATCCTCCTGCCTCAACCTTCTGCCAACCACCCTTTTCCCAGCTACATATGCAAGCTCATGCTTATAGAAACAGACTAACATACACACCTGCAGGGAAGAGGCAAGGAGGGAAGGGGCTGGCCACACATCCCTGAGAGTTATCTGTCCCACTCTAACGCCCTCACCTCTCCCTGGCGCCTGGTCTTGGGGGAAGGGCTGAAGAAGTTGTGCAGGACAGACAGCTCTGTGCTGAAGAGCGCACTCTCTTTCTCCAGGATATACTGCTTCAACAGTGGCGAGACTTCATCACCAAAGAGTGCTTGGTTGTCCTGCCAGATCTGCCTTTTCACTTCCACAGCACACGCTCGGTACAGTTCCTTGTCAGCCATCACCAGCTTCAGCTTCTTCTCAGGGACCTACACAGCAAACACCAGAGCTCCCTGTAAGAGGTGCCTGTGTCCCCAAGTCTCCCTCAGGATAGCTCGAGAAGCCTCAGCTGCCCACAGAACCAGTAGAGCCCAGCCACACCAACAGAGGCACCTGTGATGGATCGCCATGTCTTAGCAGGTGAATTCAAACATCCAGAATCCCTACGACCTCTCCCAGGAAAGACCGACCCTCCAACTCAAGGGATAAATGTGTCTCCACTTGGCTCACCCAGGGGAATTCTGTGATACAGAGTAGGTGCCCAGAGCTTGCTGGAGGCCAAGTTCATAAAACTTTCCAGGAGCTAAGCAACTGCCTACACCAAACCGATAGTCTGACCTCCACCAACCAAGGGCATGGGGCAGGCTAGCTAAGTAGTATGTATCACAGGCTCACTGACCTCCCCTAGGAGGGCTGGATCCACCAGCTCTTACCTTGGGCAAATGTTTCATAACACACATCACCACTGGTTGTAGGGATGGCATCTTGACCAGAGAAAAGCTCTTTTCCAGAAGATCTTCCAGCTTCTTGTACCTGGGCAGATTTGCACAGCTGAGAAAGTGGGTCTTCACATGCAGGACATACAGAGGAGTCTCCTCAAATACATTCCAGGTCGTATCTACAAGTACGACTGTGCAGCCATGGGGGCCATAAATGCTACCCACAAAGATAAGCAGCTCCCCAGCAGAGACCCACCTCTCCTCTGCCTTTCCCTCAGAGGCGATAGCTGACACCCGTTCCAGCAGTTTGTCTCGTAGTTCATCAAACACTGACTGATGGAACTCCAGCCGCGGTGTCCCGTGAAGGTCCAAGAAGGGTAGGGCCGACTGAAGGGAGGGCAGCAGCACGCCATTCTCTGTCTGGGAAAGCAGAGGGTAAATGCGTATGCATTTTGCTTGGCCGCAGCCAACTCAGCACGGGCACCATGGATGCCCTGAGTACACAGGTCCGCGGTGGTAACCGCGAAAAAGATGAAAACACTCAAGCTACTCAGTGGACTCCTAGCTCAGGACCTTCAGTGCCTCCATCCAAGCGTCGGGAGAGCACAGAATTGTGTCCGACCTCCCCAGGGGCCCGGCACCCTCCTGCCCACCTGAAATTGCTCAATGGCCTTGAGTGGCTCCGTGCAGTTGGTCAGGGTCTCTTTCAGGTCCTCGCCATTGGCCACGCCCAGGTCCTGGAGCCCCGCGAACATGGCCGAGGCTCCCGCTGCCGCCCGGCTGTGTACCCCATCCCCGCCGCGCTCCCCTGGAGCCGTCGCGGACGCTGAAGGAGCGCCAGAAGCCCTCTCCACGGTGCCACGGGGACCCCCCGAACCCCGCTCGCCCGCAGCCTCCAGCGTGGCCAGATCGCCCAGCAGAGCCGCTTGCACCGGCCCACACCTCCCACTTCCGCCCTTCACTGCTTAGGTCCAGCAGCCAATAGGTCCCGGGAAAACGCCGCCGCCACGCACAGGTTCCGGGCAGCGACTTGCTACCCAGTAAGAGGTAGTGAGACTGTGCGCAAGGGGCGGTGTCGGGATGACGCAACCACCTCTCGAGAGGCCTTGGCCACTCTAGCTGCCGCCGCTGCCGCCGCCAGTGCCACGAAATCTTCCGCCTTTCACCTCGTCTGCTCCCTGGTAACCAGAACCCACACTCTGAGCCCCAGAGGAGAAGGGTGGAGTGGTACCAGGCCTCTCTGGACGTATGGTAGAAATCTCCTACCTTATGAATTTCAAAACTGAGTTGTATCCAAGTACATTTTTATATGACTATCAATATAGCACTCTTTTGATGTTGAGAATTTGTCTTCTTGTGCCCACAGGTGTAAGGCATAACGTGATCTTCACAAAGCGCACACCATTGCCTTCATTTGAACTGAAATCTGAATGTGCCTGCAGTAGTACCGCAGGTGCTTTGCTAGAGCTCTGGGTATGCGGTGGGAACTACACCTTCATTATAGGCATGTGAAGATCGATATTTGAGCTAGAGTCCAGGCTGCACAGTGTCCCTTGTCCTTGGCAGTAAAAGCAGCTGCTTTGACTGGAGGGCTCTCAAGCTGTCTGGTGTGTATGCTCTTGGGTTCAGCATTTAGCTCTCTGCAGCCTCCCACACTGGTTCATCTCTCACCCTTCATTCCACTAGCCTCCTGCACACACCTCCAAACACCACACCTCTCTTTTTCATGTGCCTTTGCTGCTGAGGTTTACTCTGCTACAAACTCCCTCCCTGGTGCCCACCACATTCTTGTGGGGCCCTCAGCCCGACTAAAGGGTGGTAACTCCTGTTCGAATGTCTGACACTAGGATGCCTGGTGTTGCGGCTATAAACAGAGCTCCTGTTCCCACTGAGGCTGAGTGCCTAAGACCAGGACTGCACACCTCTGCCCCTGTTTTTGCCAGCTGAGTGGCTCCACACAGGGCCCGTAGCAAAGGTCCCATCACCCTAATTCCCCACCGGAATATTTTGGTTCAGCCACCATCTGGTGCAGTCAGAAGATACACACACAGCGTACTTGGACTGTTGGTCCAAGGCTTCCACTCTGCAGACGGGATGGTGATGACAGCAAGGCAAAACTACTGCAAGAGTGGGCGCTCAGAGGATGGCAAGGCCGCTCAGTGGTGAGTGTGCTTGTTGCCATGTCTGAAGACCTGAGCTGGATCCCTGAAGCTGACATTGTTCTAGTTCTCTGACATGTGAATGCAGTGGTACATATTAAAAAAAAAAAAAAAAAACAGACAAACAAACAAAAAAACCTCTGGAGGAACATTTGTTACTGTTGCAAAGGACCCAGCCTGGGTTTGGTTCCCAACATTCACATGGTGGTTCATAACTATCCATAACTCCAGTTCCAGGGGATCTGGTGCCCTCTTCTGACCTCCTCAAGTACCAGGCATACATGTGGTATACAGACATACATGCAGACAAAACATTAAAACATTCATGCACATAGCCAGGCATGGTGGTGCACACCTTTAGTCCCAGCACTCGGGAGGTAGAGGCAAATGGATCTCTGTGAGTTGGAGGCCAGCCTGGTCTACAGAGTGAGTTGCAAGACAGGCTCCAAAGCTACACAGAGAAACCCTGTCTCAAAAAACAAAAAAACAAAAAAAAAAAAAGAAGAAAAGAAAAGGAAAACATTCATACACATAAAATGAAATTACTTTTTTAAGTGAATTCTTATAGAATTGTATTACATGAAATATATAGAATATACAAATTAAGTGAATTCTGGTTTAGGGTTGGTGATGATGCACTTTTTTTTTTTTTTCTTGAGACAGGGTCAATTTAGACCATGTGGCCTCAAACTCAGATCCCCTACCTCTGTCTCCTGACTGCTGGGATTAAAGGCTTGTGGTGCCACACTCAGCAAAGATGCATATTTTTAATCCTAGAATTTGGGAGGTAGAAGCAGGCAGATCCCTGGGAGTTCAAGGTTAGCCTGGTTTGCACAGTGACTTCCAAGACAGCCAGGGCTACATAGTGAGAGCCTGTCTGGGGGAGGAGAGGAAGGAAGAAATAAAAGTCAGCTCTGAGAGCTGGAGAGATGGCTCAGCAGTTAAGAGCACTTGCCATTCTAGCAGGGGGGACCTGAGTTCAGTTCTGGCACCTACGGGGCAGTTTGTAACCATCTGTAACACCAGTTCCAAAGGATCTAATGTCTTCTGGGCACTAGGCACACAAGGTGCATGTACCATACATGCAAGTGAAACACTATACACATAAAACATGGTAACATTTTTAAGTGAGGTCTGTGCCTGGGTGAGGAAGAAAGGATGGAGTGGGCCCTGGAGAAACGGCAGTCACTAGCTGTAAGGTGAGGCGCCTGCAGGGGGCTCCTTCTAAGTAGGAAAGCAGGCCAGTGGTGCTCAGGGACCCAGTAGTCAGCTACTGCAGGGGAGAGGGCTGAAGGCTTTGGGCTTAGGTTCTCAGAACACAGGTTACCAAGCCCAGTTGAATCTTCATGTCAAAGCTCCAGGGAAATAGGGCCAGTGTCTGGTGAACTGATTCCCTCGGTCCTGCCTAGTGGGCTAGACAAGGCTATGCTTGTGTGAAGATGGCAATACTCCCGGTTCTGGCCTCCCAGCGTATCCCACTAGTTCTTCAGCTCAGCAAACAGCCTGACCCTCAGGTAGATGCTGGACCTTGGGTCACATTGCCACAGGATCCTTTTCCTATTCTATCCTAGGTCAGGAAGCTTAGGGTTAGTTCCCAGGCTGCCATTTCAATTCTGAAGAAAAGAGCACCATGCAGGAGCAGAGAAAACCAGGACTACCAGGAAAGCTAGAAATAAGCAGGAAGCCACATATTCAAAATAGCCCATTAGGCAAAGGATGGGCAACCAGAGACCACAGTTCAAAAGAATCATTTGCATCTCAGTATAGTAGGGGGAGGAGGGCCCTGGAAAGACTCTTCTCGTTGCGCAGTGTAAGCCAGGAGAGTGGGTGAGGGGTGTCTAGATGGTCAGAAGGCCAGGCTGCAGAGAGTTCCAAAGGAAACCCAGGAAAACTTCAAGGGAGGTCAGCTTTGCGATCTATACCCGACGGGCCTACAGCGTGCAGAAGGGGCCTGTGTCGTGACGCTTGGGCCTGCGCACTCCTTGGATGACCACTCCAGGCGGAGATGGGAAGCGTGAGTTGTAGCAGTCTTCCACGTAGTAGGCAGCCGGACCTGGGGTTCGGGCTGCAGAGAGAGTGAGCTGACCCTAGTCCTTACCCCCGCATCCCCCCTATGAGGCCCAAGCCCCACTCCACCCTCAGGCCGGCCAAGCCTCTCTTCCTAGGCCTCCTTACAGGAGCTGACCCAGGAGACAAACGCAGGGGAGCGACTCATGGAGAAGGCAGGTGAGCGTGTACTCTGCAGACGGTACCCAGGAAGGATGTTATAGGTGTTGGGGCTGGGTCGCTTCTCGCCAGAGGGCTGTGAGGCAGCCAAGAGTGGGGTATAGGCACAAGGACCTCGGGCTCGTAGCATCCCTGGGCGCAAATCCCTGGGTAGCTTGACAACAGAGCGGCGGCGGCCTCCAAAGCTGAAGGCCGGGAAGGCAGGCTGGCTCAGCGGCCTGTACTCGGCGGGCGATGGCCACTGTGAGGAGTCAGGATGCGACCCGGGGCTGCAATCTCCTTGCCTAGCTTTACCCTATCCTCCAATCCTCCAGGCCTAACGCTTCCTTTTTTTTTTTTTTTTTTTGGATCCCCTTAGTTCCGCCCATCACCAAGCCCAGCCACGTAGCTCCTCCCTCCAGCCCCTCCCACCAGCCGCCTGACCCCTTTCCTCGCCTCCTCCTCACCTGCAACACCACCCCCCCACCTTCTGCAAGGAATCCCCTGACCATCTCCTCCCACCCTCCCTCTACCTGGCCCACACAGTGTCTCTACCTTTCGCTCTCGGTTGAAGTCGGTCTTCTGCGTGAAGGGGCTTTCACTTTGGAGCCACAAGGTCTGCCATGCCCTACGGCCACCACCCTCTGCAGTGGGGCGGATAGTTGGTGGGGAGGTCTTCAGGGCAGGAGGCCCCCATTCCCCAGGTATAGGCAGGGCTGTGGGGACATGCACCTCGACCAGGGTACTTGTGGCCCATGGTGTACTGGGGATGTGGAGAGGACTCCCGAAGAGACGCACTGGGCACTTCATACTTGGTGGGGCCCGGGACATCCAGGTCAGTCAGGATCGGGGGGCGTCGCTCTTGCACTGGCGTGAAAAGCAAGCTCTAGACCCATTTCTTCCCAGAAAACTGCTTTCACCTTATCCCTCCCCACACTGGCCTGGGGTGGGAGTGAGGTAGCCAAGAATCTCACTCACACAGATCCCTCAGGGTCTCTGCGCAGGTAGATGTGGACTCTTTGGGGGTGCTCATTTTTGACCTGAAGCCACTTGGGGCCCTCTTTGCCTTTGGGGGCCACATCTCGTTCCAGGCTGCCTCAAGCTCCTGGTCCCACCACAGCACAGCAGCCTCGGGCCTGCAAGGAAGCCAACAACCACTGTCCACCTGTCTGACTGGTCTTTCCTCCTGAGTCCCCACCTGTCCGCCACCCTCTGAAATTACTGGGTGGGATGAAGAGGTTGCTGACTCAGGGGACCCCGGGTCCAGTGTTTGCCTCCATTGATGTAAAAATTTGCCAGGAATTTCACAGCCTTCTGGTCAAAGTTCATTCTAGGTCTCGGGCTCTCTTTCCAGAGGGCACTGCTGGGCTCTGTGACCTCACTGTTGGGTCATGCCCCTCCCTTCTGTTGCTGGGAGCTCCCGAGGAAAGGAACATTGTCCAGATCAGGAGGGACTCTCCTACAAGGCCTCCATCCTCTGCCCCTCTCCCTACCTGTTGAGACCGTCTCATCCAGGTCAGCCTTGGTCAAGACAGGCTCTCACCTGTCCCAATCCTTTTTTTTCCTCTCCTGGGGGCTTGGGTCCACTCTAGCAGTACTTCCGGGAGGTCTGGAGCCCCACCCTAGGTGAAGAGGGGGTGGGGCATGTAAGTACATGCCAAGTCCTGCAGTATGGCCAGGTGTGTGAGTGAGGGCCAGCTAACAGGAGACAGACAGTCAGGAGGAAGAGGAAGAGCTGCTGCCCCTGTAGCAGACCCTGTCACGGGGAGACAAAGCACAGTAACTCGGGCCTGCCTTCCGAGTCAGGCCAGTTCCGGCAGGGCTAGTTAGGAGCACTTGTCTTCTGCCTCTGCCTGCATGCACCGAGGCCAGAAGGCCAGAATGTATTAGATGAACAAAGGAATACTGAGCCTGAAGAAGCAAGAACCCATCTGGGCACGAAGGCCCTTCCAGAGTGGCCTCTGGTGCTGGCTGGTCTGGCTGTTCCAGCCCTGACCTTGGCCCCCACACTTCCCAGGCAGCACTCAAGACAGAAAAATACCCTCTCCACAGAGTCTCCTCCAGCCCTCTTCCACCGTGACTGGGCCTCTTCCTTTCTGATCTCCCCCTTTAGCACTGGCCCTGACTGACACTTCTCTGGACAGATGGATGGAGACATGAGGAAACAAGTTTGATTTGGACGAAGGTTTCACAGGCTGCCCAGAGCCTCCTCCCGCATTGTGCAGTGTCCTTTGAGAACATAATTGATGGTGTTAAGGTACCTGGTGTGGAGGATTCTGAAGAAGCACTTGCTGACATTTAGGTGTCTCCAGATCCTCCCTGCAATAAATATTGCTGTGGGGATACTGACGGCTCCAGAAGTAACGGGCCCGCCGTGCACTCATGAGAACCTAAGTTGGATGCCCAGTATCCACATAAAATTCAGGGGTGGGCCTCTGCACCCCCAGCACTGGGGAGATGGAGGATCCCCGGAGTTCATTGGCCAGCCAGTTGAACTGAACTGATGCATTCCAAGTTCTGTGAGACAAGCCATATCTCAAAAACAAAAACCTAAGATGGGGAGCAGCTGAGGAAGAATCCCAACACCAGGTCCTGGCCTCTAGCACACACTCCTACTGCTGTGGAGCTGTGCATGGTGGCCACACCTGTAACCCCAGCCCTTGGGAGGCTGAGGCAAGAGTATGGCTGCAAGTTCAAGGCCAGGTTGGGATACATAGCAAGCAAGAAAGAAAAAAAATAGATGTAGTTGTGATGGTATCACACATGTATATTTCTTGCTTGGGGAATTATTTAATGTGTATGTGGGTTTTGCCTACATGTACATGTGTTCCCACATTTAAACCTAGTGATGTGGTGGTCTGAAAAGGGCATCAGCTGCATCTGGAAGTGGAGTTACATATGGTTGTGAACTACCGTGTGGATGCTGGCAGTTGAACCTGGATCTTCTGCAAGATCAACAAGAGCTGCTAAAACACCTCTCTAGTCCTCACCACAACCACCATGTGTCTTTGGCTATTAGTTTCAGAGCACTTCTTTAGGGTGGTGAGAGCAGTGTCTTGTTTGGACTTGATCTATATAAGCAAATTGTGCTCCAGGTGTACCTCAGTGACCCACATTAAAAACTGCCATTATCAGCATATGGTCAGCATTTATTTGATTCAGGAACAACTGTACCTTTTTGTGTTTAGAGGCTCTGGGTTTGTCTTGTTTTCAAACATTTGTGTTTATATTTGCATTTTAATATTGGGGGCTAATTTTTAATGTTTTATTTCATAAGATGTTTTAAAAGATTTATTTTTAATGAGACTCTAAAGCAATCATCTGAATTTATTTTTGGTTTTTCAGACAAGGTTTTTCTGTGTAGCCCTGACTGTCCTGTAGACCAGGCTGGCCAGGAACTCAGAGATCTGCCTGCCTCGGCCTCTTGAATTCTGGATTGAAGGCTTGTGCCACTATGGCCCAGCTATCTTTAGTATTTGTAACTATGTCTACGTGTCTGTGTGTAGGTATGTGCACTTGAGTGCAGATGCCCAGAGGCCGGGGTGTTGGATTCCCTGGAGCTAGAATCATGAGATGCCTGATGTGAGTGCTGGCAATCAAGCTCATGTCCTCTGGGAGAGTGGTCATCCCCTGAGCCATCTCTCCAGCCCTCCACAAGTCCTTTATGTGGACTTATCTGTTCACACAGCTGTTGCAAAGTTTAGTCTGCCTTCCATTATTGCTTACGCTGGTTTTCCCTTTGTGATACATTCACTTTTATGGTTATAAAGTTCTTCCTGAGAGCTGGGGACAGAGCTCAGTTGTGCTTTCTGTGCAAGTTATGTGGACTTCAGTATGACTCACCAGCACACACAGAAAAAGCTCGTCTTGGTGGCATGCCTGGGCCATCAAGATGGCTCAGTGGGTAAAGGGACTTGCCACCAAAGCCTGACAACCCGAGTTCACTCCCCAGAACCCACATAGTGGAAGAGATAACCAACTCCCCAAAGTTGTCCTCAGACCTCCACAGGAGTGCCATAGCACATGTGTACACAAACAGTTAAAAAACTGTTTTATAAAGCAAGTGTTGGGGAAGCACAGACAGGGGGATCCCTGGGCTCACTGGCTGGCTGGCCTAGCTTAATCAGTAAGCCTCAGACACCAATGAGAGAAGCTGCCTTAGAAAACAAGGTTGGCCCGGTGGTGGTGACACACGCCTTTAATCCCAGCACTCGGGAGGCAGAGGCAGGCGGATCTCTGTGAGTTCGAGGCCAGCCTGGTCTACAAAGTGAGTTCCAGGAAAGGCACCAAAACTACACAGAGAAACCCTTTCTCGGGGGTGGGGGGGTGGGGGTGGACAAACAACAACAAAAAAAACCCCAAGGTTGACAGTGTTAGGGGAAGGTTAGAACATGACCACTGGGCTCTGCACACATCTGAGCATGTCTGCACACATATGCAAAAACAAAGGATTTTTGTTATCAAACAGGGTCTTATTTGCCTAGAGTGTGTTAGTAGAATTCAGAGGACAACTTTTGGGAGTAAGCTCTCTCCTTTCCCTTGGTGAGTTCCTGGGACTGAACGCAGTCTGTCAGCTGTCATGACGAGCAGTCTTTACCTCTGAGCCATCTCACCAGCATCAAAGAAAGCTTTTTTTGTTGTTTAGTTTTTAGTTTATGTTCATTGGTGTTTTGCCTGCATGCATGTCTAAGAGAGGGTGTCAGAAGCCCTGGAACTCGAGTTACAGACAGGTGTGAGTTGCCATGGGAATTGAACCTGGGTCCTCTGAAAGAGCAGCCAGTGCTCTTAACCACTAAGCCATATCTCCGGCCCTGAAAGTTCTTTCTACATTAAAAAAAAAAAAAAAAAAAAAAAAAAAACAGAAAGGGGGGCCGAACGGTGGTTTGCGCACGCCTTTAATCCCAGCACTCAGGAGGATCTGTGTGTGAGTTTGAGGCCAGCCTGGGCTACAGAGTGAGTTCCAGGAAAGGCACAAAGCTATACAGAGAAACCCTGTCTCGAAAAACCAAAACCAAAACCAAAACAAAACAAAACAAACAAAAAAACAGAAAGGGGATTTGTTAAGTATGGAAATCAATGTCTTACTACAGGGGAACAAGCCTATTGGAGAGTCCACACAGCTGTCATCTGGGAAACCTGACTCAGTGCTGACTTCATCAGTGGAGAAGGACTAGGTAAAGAACCCCACCATGAAGCAGGGACTGCTTGTCAGTGGGTCTTGGCCTCGGGGAGTAGTGGTGAGAGTCCAACCTCTTTCCATTTCTGGCTCCTGAGCTCTGGGTGAGTGGGGCTTCCTTCCAGGACACCCTGCCTTGCTCAGGACACCTTCCTAACTGGTCTTTGAGCTAGAGATGCTGTGAGATTGGGAGCACTCACAGGGTTAACAGATGGCTGGGTCCATAATGCTGGCCCCTTCACAATGGTTACCAGGCAACAGGTCTCTTTCAGGGAAGGAAGGTGGACACAGAAAGGGCTGAACCAGCAAGGGCAGAGTCAAAGCAAATGACAGCTACTCAGAAACACAGCCTCTTCACTCCAGAACCCCACTACATCCCTGGGTAAGAGCTGGGAGCTCTATAGAGAGAGGTTGGGGTCGGGAAAGAGGGATGAGCAGTAGGGCTGGGGTTTAGCCTGGACTCCAGGAGGCTGAGGACCAATGCTGAAGAGACCCAAAGCCAGGGTTACCAAGGAGTGGAATCTAGAGACCCCTGGGGCTGAAGAGCTCTGGGACAGGAAAATCTGAGCTGGAGCTACAGATGAAGGCCTAGGCCTTGCCCTAAACCTGAATGCAGTACTAGGTGGCCAGTGTGTCTGTCAAAGGCAAAAACTGTGGCAGCCAAACAATCTGGCAGAGACTGGATAAGCAAATACTGAACTTGCCCTCCATAGGCAGAGGTGATTCAGATATGGAAGAAGTATAGTCCAGTTAAAAACAGACAATACCTCTGGTATTGCCCAGAGGTAGGGTGCCTAACATGCATATGCAAAGTCCTGGGTCTGATCTCCAGCACAGCAAACTAAATAATAAAATAAAAAACTTCCAAAGAAAGTGTGTGTGCATACCTGCCTAGACCCAAGTGCAACATGGGACATAGAATAGGGGGAAACTGAAGGACCTATACCTCCTTTCAATATTGGTCACTTTTGGAGGTGTCAATGGGGTGAGGTAGGGAGTGTTGAGAATGGTTGGGTGCCGGGCTGGAGAGATGACTCTGCTGTTAAGAGCACTTGCTGGTCTTGCAGAGTTCAGAAGTTCAAGTCTCAGTATCCACGTGGTAGCTTCACAACAAACTGTAACTCCAGTTCCAGGGGCTCCATCACCCTCTTCTGACTTCCGCAAGGACTAGACACACATGTGGTACACAGACATGCATGCAGGCAAAACACCCATGCACATACAATGCTAGACCTGCTGGGTGTAGGGGTCCACTGTGGAGAACAACCTGATCGCAGTGATGACAGTGAAGACCTGGCATGTTGTCACGTTTGATACATGCTACCCCAAGTCCTGGGCGTCACAGAGAGCGGGTGCTTCCGGTACCGTCATCTAAAGTGAGCCGTGGCCCAATGCCTGCTAACTAACAGACAGGGGTGGTATCGCCCCTGCTTCTCTCCACAGCTATGCTGGTTTCTATCCTCAACTGCGCTACCAGGTGGGGAACACCTATGGCCGCACTACTGCGCAGCTGCTCACAGATCCCAGCGTCCAGAAGAGCCCCTGCTCTGTTCTGTCACCTATGTCCAAGCCCAAGTTCATCGAGGACTTCAGCAAATCTAAGTCACCATGGATTCCCTGCAGGGACCTGACAGAGCCTTACATCCCCCACTATACCAGTGAGCTTCAGGTCCAGGGTGGGACCCCACCCAGCCCTGCCTCCACTGGGGCTCCACCCTCCTTCCTATATGGCTCAAGAGCTGTCCTGTCTGTACAGGTCTGAAACCCTACAAGAATTTTGAGATCCTGGGCCAGCTCCCACGCCAGGAGATGGACACCCAGGGGCCGCCACAGGTAGAGAACATATCCAGACAGGTTTCAATGCCTGCAGGCTTCATGCCTTATCCTCCCTACCCACCATTCCCTCCAGGGAGAAAGGGAGAGGCTAAAGACCTGGGGCACCCAGGTCTACTGCTATCATATGGGGAAGAGGCCTGGAAGAATGCAGCACCTCTTCAGGAGACCCCAGGGAGGTACCAGGTAAGTGGAGACACCTGGCCTGGCTCCTGTCTCTCTCTCTCTCTCTCTCTCTCTCTCACACACACACACACACACACACACACACACACACACACACACACACAAGCCGTGTGCTCATTTACACTTCCTTGCCCCAGCTATACCACTGCAGGAGGGATGAGTACCTGCCTCCACATCCCCCGCAGGAGACACTAGATGTGGGCAGGTTCCAGCGACTACCCCAGCTAGACCACCCCAACCTAATCCAACGCAAGGCCATCTCAGGTATGTGCTGGGTGCCTGGGCTGTTCCCAGTGAGGTTCCAAGGGTCCAGATGAGATGGTGAGAATAACAAGGCTTGTTACCTGGGCTCCTTCCTACCCTAGAACAGGGTTTGGCCTCATGCTTAATACTTTTTTCCTTGAGCCAGCCCAGCTGCCCCCATGAGGAGCTAAATTTGGCCCCAAGAGTCAGCAACCAACCTTTAGGGATGGAAGGGCTCAGCATTTCTGACACACCTGGGAGTGTGGGTTATGCCGGGAAGGCAGCCAGGGAAAAACGCTGACATCCACCCATCTCCAGGTTATGCTGGCTTTGTCCCCCGGTTTGCCTGGGTGATGGGGATGAATTACCGTGATGGAGTCACACAAGCTATGGATGACTTTGACAAGAACCAGGTAGGAAAACATGGGCCTAGCCTGATTCCAGGTACTTCAGCTAGGCTGGTTCTGCTTCTGCTCCCAGCTGAAAGCATCCATTCCCCAGGGGTCACCCTTAAGGCCTTTTCACATCCTAACAAGGGCTGATTCCCTACCCTGGTAAGGGGGATTGGGTGGTCAGTCAGATGGACAACAACTCTCAGAAGCAAGATCTTGGTCATCCATGTGGGGAGACAGCCCTTCTCAGCACATATCCATTTCTCCAGTTCATATTCAGACACCCAGTCTGTGCTCTGGGCGAAAGGCTGCCCAGGACCCACTGGCCAAGCACCACCATCTACAGAAGCCAAGGCCTGATTCCCTTCTACATGGGCTTCATCCCATGTGAGTACCGCTCCTGCCAGAGGCCCATCCCCACTTCAAAAGGACAAGATCATACTACACACCAAACCTACGACGGGGTCAAATGGCTGGGGTCCCGCTTCACCTACCTGATAATCAGTTGTTGGCCCACTGGCCAGAGTCCCAGTTTTGTTGTAACTACCCAGTCAGTATGGGCTCAGCAGCCTTTCCCGTAAACTTACAAAGCCAGCAAGGTTACTCCAGGCCTATTTGAGGGGGTAACCACACGATCCTAGAGAGGCTGCTCTGTTCATAGCCTGCCCTGACCTCTCCCACTGTTCCCTGTTCCCCCGGGAACTCAGCTTAAGCCTTTCTCTCTTGCAGCCATGCAGGACAACTACGCGCTGACATTCGGTAACAGCACCCGAAAGGCCTATCAGAAGGAACTGGAGAGGCGAAGCCACACACTATGAATTGCTTTAATGGTGGTATCTGTACAAGTGATGTCAGAACAGGACAGCAAATGCACAGTGGACATGGCTAGCAGACAAGCTGTGAATGAATAAAGAGTTCACACTGCTCCCATGCTTTAGCTGCTTAAGACAGCTCTAGGCCACCTCCTCCTCAGCCTCCTCCTCAAACTCTCCCTCCTCCTCAGCTGTAGCATCTTGGTACTGCTGGTACTCGGACACCAGGTCATTCATGTTGCTCTCAGCCTCAGTGAACTCCATCTCATCCATGCCCTCACCCGTGTACCAGTGCAGGAAGGCCTTGCGTCGGAACATGGCTGTGAACTGCTCTGAGATGCGTTTGAACAGCTCCTGAATGGCGGTGCTGTTGCCGATGAAGGTGGCGGACATTTTTAGGCCCCGAGGTGGAATGTCACAGACAGCTGTTTTCACGTTGTTGGGGATCCACTCAACAAAGTAGCTGCTGTTCTTGTTCTGGACGTTAAGCATCTGTTCGTCCACCTCCTTCATAGACATGCGGCCCCTGAACACGGCAGCCACTGTCAAGTAGCGCCCATGGCGGGGATCACAGGCAGCCATCATGTTCTTGGCATCAAACATCTGCTGGGTGAGCTCAGGAACTGTCAGGGCACGGTACTGCTGGCTACCTCGGCTGGTCAAGGGGGCAAAGCCAGGCATGAAGAAGTGCAGGCGAGGGAAGGGCACCATATTTACAGCCAGCTTCCGCAGGTCAGCATTTAGCTGGCCAGGGAATCGCAGGCAAGTGGTTACCCCACTCATAGTGGCGGACACTAGATGGTTCAGGTCGCCATAAGTGGGTGTGGTCAGCTTTAGGGTTCTGAAACAGATGTCATAGAGTGCTTCATTATCAATGCAATAGGTCTCATCTGTGTTTTCAACAAGCTGGTGTACTGAAAGGGTGGCATTGTAGGGCTCAACCACTGTGTCCGACACCTTAGGGGAAGGTACCACACTGAAGGTGTTCATGATTCTGTCCGGGTACTCCTCCCGGATCTTGCTGATAAGGAGGGTACCCATCCCAGACCCAGTCCCCCCACCCAGGGAGTGGGTCAGCTGGAAGCCCTGCAGGCAGTCACAGCTCTCAGCTTCCTTCCTCACAACGTCCAACACCGAGTCAACCAGCTCTGCGCCTTCTGTGTAGTGTCCCTTGGCCCAGTTGTTCCCAGCCCCACTCTGACCTGTAAGAGAAAACAGCTGGTCACTAACTAGGTACGTGCCCAAAAGGCCAAATGGTTTGAGGTTGTCACCTCTATAAGAAAGTGAAAAGACCCCTGAAATGACACCACAGCAACCTGCCATGTGTGGAAAAAAAAGAGGGGGTTGGGGGACCACAGCTAGGACAGTAACACTTCCCTAGGTACCCCGGCCAATATTCAAGGACAGCCCAGGGACCCAGGCCACCGGGTCAGGTTTGCTCACACTCTCTACCAGCAACTAGCCTACCGGCAGACAGACTTTCCTCCCAAAGCTGCTTTTGACCAAGGGATTGAGTGACTCAGAGGTCAGGAAAAGTGTTACACCTGGGCAGCTAGTCAGCGGGGACTTTAGGTCAGCCCCTTGACCTTTGAGCCTCAGGGGGTAGCAAGCTCCGCCCACACCCCCCGCCGCACTCACCGAAGACGAAGTTATCAGGTCTGAAGATCTGCCCGAAGGGCCCTGAGCGCACCGAGTCCATGGTGCCCGGCTCCAAGTCCACGAGCACGGCACGGGGAACATACTTGCCACCTGGTGGGACAGGGGGACGTCAAGAGTGGTCAAACCGGAGGGGTGATCGGGACGATGTACGGATAGAGGAGTCTTACCGGTGGCCTCGTTGTAGTACACGTTGATACGCTCCAGCTGGAGGTCGCTATCTCCGTGGTACGTGCCGGTAGGATCAATGCCATGCTCGTCGCTGATCACCTCCCAGAACTGCAAGGGACTCGGGCGTTAGCTGAGTCACGGCGGCCGGTGCGCTCCAAGGCAGCCCCGCCCCGGATGGGTGCGGCAGGCCCTTCCCCCCACCCCCCACCACCCCCGTCTCCAAAGCGCCCGAGCGACGGGTCCCTAGGGCCTCGCACGGTCCGCCCCCACCGCCACCAGCCACCGCTTCTACGTCCCGGCCCAGCGTACGCCGGTATCCAGGACGCAGTGAGAGCGCCGCCGCTTCCGCCATCTTCCCCGGCTGGCCGTACCGCTGGCGCCCGTCCAGCAGAGCCCTAGCCGCTTACCTTGGCGCCAATCTGGTTGCCGCACTGCCCAGCCTGCAGGTGCACGATCTCCCTCATGGCGGCGGCGACTGCGGAGCGGCTGCAGAGAAGGAACAAGCTGGGAGGAGCAGGCGCACAGAGTGCTACAACCGACGCTCTACCAGCACTTATATACCCCTCATAGCCCGCCTTCGCAAGCCTAGGATTGGGCTCCCAGAACGAGGCCAAGAAGCACTCTTGTTTGATTGGCTGCTTTTCCGTCAATCAAGTGGCCTAGGGCCCGCCTTCCCAACGATATACGCTCATTATTGGTCAGTACTGTCTAAGGTTCTCCCTATCACAATCCCCGCCCTGGCGCCGCAGTGCTCAATTCATTGGGTGTTTCAAATGATTGATTTGCACCTTCATTGGCTGCCTCCTGGGAGCACGCCGAAAGCCTGACACTATTGGCTGCGCTGGGTTGGCGTCCTGGTAACCGCCGCAGTGCAGCGCGCGGGCGGGACGTGGAGAGCAAGCTTCCGGCCGAGAGGGAGGGGGCCTCTTTTCAGAGTTTTGTGGGCTCTCTTTGGTGTAAGGGTCCGTGTGCTGCTGCTGGGGAGAGAAAAGAGCCTAAGGCATTGCACTCCGGGTGCAATTGCGGTCCAGCTTGGGGACTTTCAAGCTGAGGCGGATTGTAGCCATGAAATCCGGCCCAGCTGGGTCCTCCCGGGACGCACTGGGCAGGCGCGGGGTCTGTTTGTTCCCGGGAGGGCCCTCCCTCCGCCTCTTCGACTGCGCTCCGTGTTGTGGAAACCAGCTGGCCTGGAGCCGGTCTCCTTGGAGCCTTCGCTCTAAGTGCGCGCAAAGCTGCATGGAGACTGCAGGGCTGGGCATGCCTGGCCATGACTCTATGAGAGGGAAAAACAAACAAACGTATGAAACTTAAATTAAGTCCCTGCCCTGTAGTGGATCGCTTAGAGAACAATCCATTTATATATTTTTATAAGTTTTTTTTCTGAGGTGTCAGGTTCAAAGCCCCCCCTACCCTCAAAATGGCAGTGCTGACATTGTCCTAAACATGACTTGGCCAGGTAAACAAGCCTAAAAAGTTCCTGTTTACAAGAAAAGTAAATCTCTTAAGGTGTTTTCGGTTCACCAGGAACTCCCTCCCTTAACCTTCCCCCCAAAATCAATTCTGCCAAAGCGTGTAGTTCTGAATCAATCCTTTTCCGCCATTTGCTCTTTTCCCCCCTCACCTTCAATGGCCTTGACAGTTTAATCCCTAATAAATCTTTCTGCCCATGGAACTAAAAAAAATTAAATCTTTTAGTTCGGTTGTTTCTCTGTGCCATCATTTATATGAGGCAGGGTCTTCTAACTGGTGAATTGGAATTCAGCTCAAGGAAATTCTGCGTTAGCCTCCAGAATGCAAGGATTTACAGACCTTCCCATGCCTAACTTGGTAATTTTTTTCTTTTTTTAAGGAATATTACACTATGGGGTCTGTTCTAGTCCATGCACCAGGCATCTGTGGGTCTAGCTTTTGGTATGAACTACCTTCAAATCTGAGTGTGTTAGGCAATCCCTATTGGTTGTGGTATCCAATGACCAACAATGTCACAGGAAAAAGCCATCAGGACAAGCAGAATTCTATATCCTAAGCAGCAGCATTCTGTTGGATGGAGTCCTATTGTTCATGTTAACCATCCTAACCAGTGTGCTAGTCTCTAGCAAGATCTGACTGTCCTGCCCACTTCCCTAAAAGGGTAGTTCAGAAAGCGGGACATGGGTTCTGTTGACCACACTTAGAGGACCCATACCTCAGGAGGGCTAGATGTGTGTGAGGTGCACCAGGTCACTTAACCACTAGAATCTCAAAGTCAGCACATTCATATCCATGAAGGAAGCAGAAGTTCTAAGCTTTAACACCAAGAGCTTCTCTTTGAGATGTTTGGGTCTCAAGCTGGGCAATAGGTATGAATAACATAGCATAACCGTGGTTCTTGAGCATCAGCCCACCAAGGACAGTGGCTGCCCACAGCTGGTAAGAGAAGACACTATAGATCTACACCATGAACCAAGAGTACCCCTGTGCTAGTGAGAAAGAAGACCCAGGAAGACCTGGAGCCTATAGCCTGAGAGGATGTGCACAGAGCCAGCCAGAAGAGCAGGGAAGTGAGGCAGAATGGGCTGTGGGAGCATTGGGTGCCTGCCTGCCCTCCCTCCCCAGCCTGCAGCTGTTGGAGGCTGCACAAGGAAGGCTCTGTTTACTGGTGGCCATGGTCCCAGTGGGAGGGTACATTACTGCCAGGCAGGAGCAGCAGGCAGACAGTCTTTGCGGCCTTAAAGGACCCTGTGGTCAGCTTTTGTGGAAGGCCTTCCCTCACCCCGGAAGGAGAGGTGCCAAGGTGCTTCCCCTGTGGACTAGGCCTCACTGACTCCCTCAGTGGGTCTTCCAGGGAAGCAGTCTGGCTCAGCCCCGACTCTGGAACATCAGAGAACACCATGAGGCTGTGTAAAAGCACTCTGCAATCAATCACAAGAGTGGGTGAACTAAGGCTGCAGTGCACAGACCTTGCTCTGTCTTTGCTAGAGTTCATCTCTGCAAGTCCTTGGCTCCCAGAGCAGGCAGTCAATTCTCTGGTAGTCAATTCTCTGGTGAATTCCAGGCCTAGGAAGCCTAGGATCTAGGGTAGGGAGGGGATGGCACAGAACCTGGGTGACACTAGAGGCTATGGGTAAAGAGGGCCTGGGATGTTCTAAACATAGACAGAAAGGACCACAGAGACACCCACAGTGTATGTGTGGAGGATC